GCCCCTAGTAGCGTCCTCTTCTCTTTCTGCTACAAATGAAGTACCTAATAGCGATGGCCTGCACCCTCAGAGCGATAGCCTCCAACCTAGAAGCGACAGCCTCTTCATTTTACGTTGCGCTTTTGCAATTTTTCTCGCATGACCTTTAGACTTGGTTGTTTCTTGTGTAGTTGAGATTGCCGCAGGAGGGCACCTGTGGTCCAGGAGATCTCGTCTTCATTCCCAGTGGCTGGTGGCACCGCACTTAGCAGAGCTGAGATGTGATCGACAGGTGAGTTCGTTGCTGAATTGATCTTTTGTCGAATGCTGTGGATGCTGATGATGCTGATGGTGTTGATTGCATCTATTGATATTTATTTTCAATGCTGGAAACGTGAGAATTTAACAGGCACTGTGTGCTGAATCTGGACGATGACACAATTGCCGCCGGCCAGACATGTTGGCAGTTGGGCGGGGCCTAGAGCTGCAGTATTTGTGTCTTCGCTCTGAATACTAAATACTAGATGCACAAAATATTTTCCCTGCTGTGGACCTGCTGAGATTGCTAGCTGCGGAGATGGCCTCCAACCTACAAGCAATGGCCTCCACCCTACTAGCGATGGCCTCCAACGAAGTAGCGATGTAGCGTGGCCTCCACCCTACTAGCGATGGCTGCAGCCAGGTGACCCAAAACTATGCATCCGAGACCCATGTCTCCTCCGTGCGGCGATTCCTCTCAGAGCACCGGGATCAGGCTTGAGTTAGTACTCCGAGCTGGCACCATTGCACCAGTCCTCAGTGGTAAGCAAAGTCGAGCAAACATAATTTGTTTAAGATGCGTTCAAGGTTGGGCTCAAACAAAGTCAGGTCACCTTGTAAATATTTGCTTGATATGGCAAGGCTCTGGTGTTTTTTTTGCAGCAGTCATCGCAAGCTCTGCCGAGACGGAACCTTTGGTGAAGCCTTCGCATTGGCCGTCCAACTCCAACGTCACCAGTGCCACATTGGACGCCACGGCCACGGACCAAAGAGCGATCGAAGCGACCGAAGCGAACCGTGCAGTGAGGGGCTTGCGTGTGAAGAACGTCACAGCGAGCAGACAGCTTCACGGACAGAATCGAGGACGTTTCCCTGGTCGTGATCAGACTGGGGGGGGCAGTGACTGGGGCGATCGCTTTGATGATTGGGGTTGGGGGCATCGACATGGGGTCCGTGGCGAGACCTGCTGTATGTGCTCTCGGCGCGGCCGACGAGGCAAGACCATCCTGTTTGCTGGAGGTGACTATGACCACTACTACGGCTCACGTTCTGCGCACCAGCAGTGTGACAGGGTTTGTGAGCTGCAGTGTGCCCTGCGGAATGGCCACAAGTTTGGATGTTACGAGGAGGATGACCTCAGAAGGATTACCCGCAGGTACAGTGGCCAAGGGAATTTTGTGATTCGACATCAGAAATGGTATGGGAATATTTGCTGATTGCCCCGGCACATTTTTGTTTGACCCAAATTTGTCCATTTCGTCTGCCCGACTACAGAGGGTGCAGCCGAATGGTCTTTTGTTTTGAGCATGCAGGCAATGGTGCAGTCACGAGATTTGCCGGCCTGCGCTGTAAAGAGGTGTAGAGATGCAAAGTTGCAGACACGAATTCATTGCCGTCTCAGGTGCGAAAAAGAACGAAAGAAGGAAAGAACCACCTGGTTCCGACATGTGAAGAAGCATATGTTTGGGGATATGTTATACAGTCATACAGTGTTCTTAAACGCATGTTGAGACTGTTGGCACTTGTTATGACTTTTTTCCCCTCATGTTTGCACTTGAGACTTACTGTCAGGTGAGCGGCACGGCGGAGCGTGACACCTTGGCAGAACGCTTCGACGAGGTTGGCGCCGTTCTCGAAACTTGGAGGGTCTGGGGGTCCAAAACGGGTTCTTTTCCAGGGCGAGCACAAACAGAAAAATGAATGGGCCCCCAACCTGCTAGCAATGGCCTCCAACCAACTAGTGATGGCCTCCAGCCTAGTAGCGATGGCTTCCACCCTACTAGCGATGG